ATCAACGTCTTGTATAGATATACGTGTACGTGTCGATAATAGAGCTCCGGTGCATAAATCCAACGCAGACGCCTCGTGGATTTCAAGTGCAAACAACCATTTCGGACCAACCCGCTCGATAACTTTGGGGCTGCGCTCGGCGCTCTTTTCCGACAAGTTTTCTGTTGCAGAATAGAAAAAATGATTAAAAAAAGTTTCGGAAACATTCCTACAATGGCAGGTATACGTTTTTAAAAGTTATGATACGGTATCAATTACCCGATGATAAACAACATTGCCGAGCATTAGCCACTGTTGCGCCAAAGATTTTTGAAATATCTATAACCAAGAGGGAGAGAGAGAGAGAGAGAGAGTGTTCTTATCGAGCAACCAAACTATATATATACACGGCGTCCGCTGCAGGTAGCTGTTTCGGATCAAGTATACAAATACAAGGGGGAGGGAGGAAAAAAGGCATTTTATCGAAAGATTAAGTAAGTGTAATGACATTGGAGTAAAATATGGTTACTAATTCGCCCCGAGATCCTATGGATATATCATACACCTATGTGTACGCGGCGTATCGAAAAAGTTTTAATTTCGATCGGTACACCTATACGTAGACACGGGCACAAAATATAAATATACGCGACTTGTACAATACAGATTAAAGGCATAAATAATCATTTTTCCACTCGGCTAATCTCAATAACGGAAACACACTTATAAATCCTGAGATATTGTTATCTTGGGCCCAGGTGGGGGGGGGGGGGGGGGNGGGGGGGGGGGGGGAGTGATATTTTTACACGCAACTTTCGAGCGGTGCAGCGGAGTATGTACACTGAAACCGAGACTTTGGCGGTTTTAAACGGGGGGCTCCCCTCGTTTTTTTTTGGCACGTATCGCGTGTAAGTATTCCGTGAAAGTGACAAAGCTTCGATTACCCGAGAGCACCTGTGGTACGTGACGCGCATATTTGTGGTTTATCCTCTCCTTTGTCAAAAGATCGAGTATAGGTATACCGACGCGCATCGTCTATCCGTCTAAGAAGGAGAGAGAGAGAGAGAGGAGAAAAATGCTGGAAAAAAAAAAAAAAGAAACGTATCGGCGAAAAAAAGAGAGGGAGACACGAGCCGACCAATCAGCACGAGTATAGGCGATAAATCTTTCGCGGCCGAGCTTCTTGCCATTCTCGGGTATAGAAAGATACGACAACGTATAGCACAGGACACACGCGTGTTGGCGCAATTAGTGTCACCTCACTGATCGATCGATCGCTCGTCCCTCCGACAACTTGGACTACGTCGGAGGTAACGGAAAGCGCGAAACTTTCTGAAAAGGTATACGTATATGCTGATGCGCGGTTCAGCCTGACAGCGACACTGGCATCGAAGACTGAGGTTTTTCGGGTTTTTTTCCTTTCTTTTTCTTTTCTTTTCCAGCGAGAGTGCCATCAGGAACAACAACAACAACAACTCGGCTTGTTTAATAAAATCATCCGATACCTCGTTGCAGTTTTCAATTGGCCGCAATATGTAGGTATAATAAAAATACCACGAATTTCCGCGGCGCTGCAATCATTTCTTTTGTGTACCCAAGAAAATAATAGATCCGAGATCGAAGGAGGGGCGAACGATGCGAAACTTCTCGTGATAGGTACACATATATATATCCCCACTAGTAGAGGGAAAAGTAAAAAAAAGAGCACACGATCGTGCAGCAACGATATCAACCAGAGAACAATATCTCTCTCCTCCGTGTATCTACCACATTATGTAATTTACTCCCCTCGAGAGTGTGAATTTGTACATTAAATAAGCGTATAAATAATAGTGGTGATAACGGGCGACTGCGCTCTTTACAATGTGTTTACTGTATGAAAAAAAAAAAAAAAAAAAAAAAAAAAAGGATCGCGTACGTGTCTTTACTATATGGTATACAAGTACATATGCGACGACGGTTGGCCAACTCTGCGCGCTCGCGGACATTAATTTCCTCCCGTCCGCATCTGTAAGCGTCGTCGCGTCGAGCAGCAAGTCCCCCAAGAGCTCACCCGATTCGGGAATACACCCACATTCCCCGGATAGTTTGCAAAGCCCGCGACAAGTACATGGGTATAATATATATATACCTAGTCGCGGACATTCCGTCACATCGCGTCCTTTCTCTCCCGGCAGTCCACCGAGAGGCTAATGGACAGCGGGGGGGCTCTGTCTCTCCGCACGAAATACTATACCTGCCGTTTACGCGAAGTTTGACGGACGGAATAGAAAAGCAGTCCTTTTTTTCCCTCCTCCATCAGTCGGCCTGGCAGAGCTCTCTCGAGCGATAAGGGAGTATATATGTACATCGAGTGGCCCGTAAATTAAATTAATTTCCAAGCCACGACTCGGCGCGTGATTTACGAGCGCGCGAGCGCCGCCGTACTCCCTTGACAAATCCACTCCGCGTTCGTACGGATTATAGGTACACGTGCCGTGTGTATATAGGCGTAGCGCGTGCACATGCAACTGAATTACCGTTCGAGGGTATACAGGTAAAACAATGACCGGCTTATCGCGCGCGAGTATTTTAACGATCCCCGTCCGTGCCGCGATTTGAACCGCGTGCACATAGATATACAAATTGAAGAGTCGAAAAAACCGCCCATACTCCGGGGGAGTCCGATTCAGCGCCCCGTGGAAAAAAAAAAAAAAAAGAAAGAAAAAGAAAAAGGCACTTTCCCCTCGCAATATTATATTATATACACAAGAGCGTAAATCAATCTTTGGCCGAGTGAAAGTCGCGGCGGCGTGTAATAAACTTGCCCCAGGATGGGTGCACCATTGTGACGAGGGGCAACGATTTACTTATCACTCGGCGGTTAAAACGAAGCATACTTATACCTATCACCCATTGCTCTCGAAATTCTCGGGCCGCGCAGGTGTGCTCGCTCGATCAAAATGGAAAGTACCTCTATCGGAGATAGGTACATATATACAGATGACGTATACGGTGGAAAGAACAGTTGAGCCGCAAATCAGCCGCCACCGATCTCCGCGAGGCACGACAATTTGTATATACCGATGAAACTCGGGACGGATTGTACGGCCCGAGTGGCTCGTTTGTTTACGAGACTCGCCAAGGAGCGGACCGATTGAAACGGCCGATCGGAGAAAAGTATATAGGGACACCCGTCGACTGTGCACGCGCACCTATATATATACATGCACCCGGGCTTGACGGATGGCAGCTGACTGTACACGGCAGCCGAATGAGATCGATTAGTCGCTCGGAACGAGAGAGATCGGCACAGCAGCCAGAGTCGGACGCTATACGTATATATATATATATATATACACGGCTCTTCGCGCTCTCCTTTGCGAGTATTTTGTGATCATATGGATGAGGTATACAGCTAATCATCTGTATATCGTTGCCTTCGCTTATTATTCGCACACCCGCGCACTCGTCGAGGGACAGGTAAAGGCGGTTAAGTACCAACTTCTCCCGCGGAATGGTAATCCGAGAGCACGTGAGCTTTCGCTTCGTATCCCGTCCTCGGTCTTTGCGTCCCTTCAGCCGGGGGACATCGGGAATTCGATCCACCTTGCGGAGGAGGTATGCGCGCGCGGTGCGGCCGATCTTCTTTCCTTCGACCTCGCGTTACGTCAGGAAATAAAAAAACTAGGCTGCTGCTCATGTACATGTATACGTACTGTTGTCTGTTGTGTCTGTGGAGCGAGGGAAAAAAAAAAAAAAAAAAAAAAAAGGTGGGGGAGGTGGTGTACTCGGATTACCTAATCACGCCATCTCTCCCGAGATGCTGATCTTTGCGCGTTTCTCTTTGTCCCGTGTATGCACTCTACTCTCGGTTTGAATGTGTGGATTGATTTTCGGAAAAAAAAAATCACGACAACCGTACGAGCAATCTCCAAAGGCAAAATCACGTGGAAGCCACAAAGTGGGTTGGGACAGGGTATACGTATATTATATGAGGAGGGCAACCGTACAACAACGTTATGTTTCGCGTTGCTGCACGGGGTCCAACCAAAGCGAATCTGTACAGGCGCGCGGGTGTGACAAAAAGATTCCCACGTATGGGTATGCGGTATAATAATAAGCGATGGATCGAGAGCGCGCAGGAAGCAAAAGTCAAAGGAGAAGCCCAGAATTTCTCCCGCGCGCACATCACGAATGATGATGATGATGGTGCCTCCTCCTCCTCCTCCGTCTTTTTCTCTTCGCGCTCGATTCTTTGCGGCCGCTGCACTCGGCATTACACTTAATTACTTTAACGAGGCCCCAGCGTCGATGGGCCTCGCTTTTTGGGGGCTGCACGCTCTCTCGATTTACTTTTCGGTAGCCGGAAATCGCCACTTTTCTTCCTCCCGTTCTTTTTTCTTCTTCTTTTGTTACCCCCCTTCGTCTTCGCACGCTTTTCTCTCGGTGGCGAGGAGCTCCTGTGAAAAAAAAAAAAAAAAAAAAAACAACCCAAGATTGTTTTTATTGGGTCTGTGGTGCTAAAACAAAGATGCGCCCGAAAATTAACACATTATGCATTAAAATAACTATACAATAATTCAATAATTATACGTATTGTGCAAAAAACTTATTTTTATTTGTATAGTTGCGTAACAAAAGAAACATCATTGTGACATACAACATTTGCAAACTATGACTTGAGAAATAGATTATTTATGAAAACAAAATCGACTAGAGAGTATCAGTGTTGACTATGATATCATTCTAGATTAAGAACTCAGTGGACTAAATTGCAGCGAATACATTTTTTGTCAGTATGTGTAAATAGAAAAGTCCACAGTACACATCACTTATATTACAAACAACAACAAAAATATTACAATTTATTTCGGTTAAAACTTCTTAATAAGAATTATTTGTATCGCAAATGTATTAAAAATATTGTATACGTACGAAAACAATGATGTAAAACAGTTTTTTATAGAACTTTTAAAGTCAAAAATAACGTTGCAAGAAAAAAAAAATCTTTAAAGTATTTAAAACAAAAAATTTTTTGGTTACTTGCGATAGTAATTACTAGATATCGAGGAGGAATGACTCTCTTTCGTAAGAAAAGTCGGTAAAATGTTTATTTTCCCGGATCAGCAATTCCCGATCACGGTAACTAAGGTCGGTCGGCGTAAGTGTGACTCTTCTATCAGTGAATCGCTTGTCAAAGTAACGAGTGTCCGTTTCCAAGGTTAACTGGGGTTTGAAGGGAGGTGGAATCTTTTTGTCAAACAAGTCATACCAGTTTATCGAATCGAAGAACGAATGGTATACTACTTCATCGGAATCAAATGGACCACCACCCAATCTGATGCATGGATCCTTAATCAGTAATTCTACACACGTGATAAGATATAATTAAATATAAAAAGATAGCGTTGCCAATAAACAGAGGATGTTGGTTTATAAATTCACCTTTCAATAAATTCTCGGCTTCGACACTGAGGTGTTTGGGATATGTAACTTTTTTCTCCCGTATCATCTCTGAAAGTATTTTCTGATTATCGTCGTAAAATGGAAGCCTACCACACATCATTCTATACATGACCACTCCAAAACTCCACCAATCTACAGCTCGTGTGTACTCATCGTTTTCGAAAACTTCTGGTGCTAAGTACTCTGGAGTACCGCAGAACGTTTTTGTCGTTTTCCCTACAAGAAATTTGTGTGATTATTTAAAATAAGTTTAAAAAAGACGATTCGAGTAGTAAAAGCGTTATATGTGCAAGTTACCATACGTTATACCTTCCTTACAAAGACCAAAGTCAACAATTTTTATGTGACCATCTTTGTCTAATAATATATTGCTAAGCTTAAGATCACGGTGAATGATACCCTTTGAATGTAAATGACCTACAGCCAGAGTAATTTCGGCTCCATAAAACTTTGCGCAATTCTCGTCGAATAACCCAATACGATGCACGTGAAAATGGAGGTCACCGCCACTTAAGTAGTCCATGACAAAATAAAGTCTGTCAACCGTTTGAAAGCTATATTTTAGAGACTGTGAAGTTTGGAGATTAACAGACAACTCTAAGTACACACAGCTAATACCTCGTCATGTTCAATAAAATGTGACTTACTATTATAAACGGATGTCTTATGGTTTTTAAAATTTGATTTTCTGATAAAGTGTGAGACACTTTTTTATGGCGAATAATAAATAGTTTTTCAATAGTTTTTAAGGCGTAATATTTTTTTGTACTTTTTTCTCTGCACGAGATAACCGTACCGTATCCACCTTGGCCAAGAACTTCTAATAACTCGAAATTGTCTATAGTCTGTAAATGAAGAACAAACTTTTTTATTCATGTGTGCAGGATACGATGTCGATAAGAAATAATGAATAAAAATAACAATCAAAATTGAATTTTTCACTGAAAATTCATAACTATATTGAACTTTACGTACGACTTTTTTTTGTTTTGTGGATGTACTGATTGATGTATTTTCAAGTCTACTAGATAGTTCGTCGAAACATTTCCTACTAGTAGAAGCAACTTCGAATGGATTTAATCTCGTATTGACTGACTCTGTCGGCATTTGAGGTAGTTGTTGTTGTACTGTATAAGTATTTTCGTTATCTAATTTACGTGCTACATACCTAATTAAATAAAATTTATTGGTATATTCAACAAACTTTGAACTTTTATCAGAGGTATTAAAATTTAGCCTAAAAATTCTCATTTAATTTGATATCAGGTAATACTTTTTTACGACGAGCAATATTTAATTAGTTTATCGAGTCTTAAAGAAAACAAAATTTTAATGCATTACCCAAAAATTTGTTTCCTGTCTTAATAAAATACAAACACATTATTTTATCGTAAAAGTAAAGTTTTTTTCCGCCCTCGGGTGGTTTTGGGAGGCTGGTACTTCCACGGGCGAAAAAGTAGTTTTCCGGAACTCGTTCGAATAGTCTCCTTGACGAACTTCGTTACGTCCCTCGCCTTCGGCTCGAGCCGCAAACCTCTCGGTTTGCAAACAGAGACTTTTCAAACTCGTAGGAAAACTACCATTTTTTCCAAAAAACAACGTATTTTTTTATAGTACAGGAAAAATTCCGTTTAAATTGGACTAACGTACATCGCAAAATGGTAGTTTTCCTACGAGTTTGAAAAGTCTCTGTTTGCGAACCGAGCCGAAGGCGAGGGACGTAACGAGGTTCGTAAAGGAGACTTTTCGAACGAGTTCCGGAAAACTGCTTTTTCGCCTGAGGAAGAACCAGCCTCCCAAAACCACCCGAGGGCGGAAAACATTATTTTCCGTTATAGATACGATTGCATTAAAAATATAGCACAGAAAAATTATAAAGATAAGGATTTTTAAAAATGGGGTTGGGACTAACATCTTCCACACATAGGTGGTATTATAAGGTACTTGTAATAATCACGAAAAAAATGGTGTACGGCTAATAACAATACAATTACGTAATAATGCGAAATATAGAGAAACTAATTTTTTTTCCTCAATGTCAACTCGTTTGATGCCCTTATCTTAATAGGTTATAAATAAATATATATGTAATGCATAAAGTCATACATGATAGCAGAAATCCAATCCTTTCTTTCTTTTTCTGTATTGACATTGAATTTTCTTTCAACAACCCTTGGCCACAGTAATCCTTCTACAGCAAACGTGAAATGCTTCACTTCTTTGTTAAATCTTATCACACATTCCCTAACAGTATATTTATTCGAAGGTGGAATATCACCGACAGTTTGGCCATCAGGTTTGTTTTTATATCCAAGCCAAGTACCATCATCTTTTAAAATGAAGTAACGTAACCTCCAATTCCTTATAATTTTACCTAAAAACATGCGAAAAGAAAGTGAATCCTCGAGTAGTTATAGAAGGTTAAACAAGTATCAGAAACATCCATGTAAAAGTATATGTTGCGACTTTAGGAAAAGTTTCGTACACTTCGTAGGGAAATGTGCTAATTAAAAATTGAACATCCTTAGTGGTAAAACCATCGATTTTGAATAAACGTTATCAATAGAAATTTCAGTAAGATTAAATGCGTTTGTCGCTTCAAATATTGAACAAGAGTCTTAATAGTTGTTTCATTATTCCGAATGTCGAAAAATTAATTAAAACAATTCTAAAAATATCCTTGTAACGCCCGAGTGACTAAATCTATGAAAAAGATTACATTGAGCAGAACTTGCCACGTTTTCGGATCCAGCCTTCTTTGACAATGTCCATTATGATGGCTCGCAATAGCAATCAAGCAGCTTCAAGACAAAAAAAAAAAAAAAACAGCAATAGTGCAGAAAAAAATTTACGAGCTGAACTGATGATGAATTTCGACACTTTAATCCCAGAAGCACGAATTATGCAGGCGAGTAAGCGAAGGTATATGCTACGTGGAAAATTTGGTCATTGACTATTAATAAGTAAGTTAGAAGCCTTATTAGACACGCGCACTGATGTGTCAGATGATAAGTATTATTAGGTATATTCAAACATTCGAAGAGCCTTTCCAAAGTGAACACGTACGATACTGTACTTTTCTTCCCACCTCTCTTCTAATCGTTTGAAATGTGACGTATCGTGTGACATCGAATTTTTCTAAAATATTTTTTCGACCTCATTACTGGAGCGCGCAATTCAAAAGTATATAAAAACCGAGTACCTCCAGTTGTAGCAAAGGTTGGATGGTAATCAATTTTATTTCATGTTTTTTTAAATTTATTTATTTGGTAAAGAAAAGGTTTTCTGCACTAGAAAAAAAAAAAAAAAAAAAAAAAAGAATTGTTCTATCAATCTTTTGGCTAAACCTCAGAAAAGGTTTTTAAAAAATATCACTAGCCACCCCCAGTCCCTTTTACATTCAGAAATATACAGAACACCCTTGAAACTGGGTTCGTTTTACTCGCAATGCCATGTACTATGAGGAAAATTTTTTTAATACGGGTTTCAGTGAGGGTGACACCCTTTTCCTGAGATTTATATGTTGAAATTATATATGTGTAGATATACTAATATCATGTAAACTGCGGAAAAAAAGTGTCACCTCCACTGAAAACCGTGTTCGAAATTTTTTCTTCACAGTTGATGAAACTCCGACTAAAATGACGAAAGTCGTAAAAGTCGCGTATCTTCACTTTCAGTGTTCGCAGCCCCACTCCAAAGATATGGAATCATGAGTATTTAATGTGTGTAGGTATCACTGGATAACGAAATTCATATACGTATACAATGTACACGTGCAGCGTCATTTCGTGAAATGATTGTACGACTATAGCTTAAAAATCCACGAAAAATCGAAAACTGCAGAAACGGTAATTGTGCATGCATAAATATACGCCTACACCGATCAAAGAAGCAGCAGCAAAACAACAAAATGAGAGACAACGGATAAGATCATCTCGAAAAAGAAAAAAAAAAAAAAAAAAAAAAAAAAAAAAACAGAAACTAGCAACATAATGAGTTTATAGAAGAAAACCCGCATCAAACACGATGTAAGTACAGAGACAGGTGGTGCGGCCGGGAGGCAACACCACCGCACGCATGAGCGTGTCTCCCCTGGTTTGGCCGGACAACACTTTCTCAGGTGACCGCGAGCCCACCTCCTCCGCTCCGATATCTCATTTTATTGCTATATACTTTCCTCACCTCCGTATACGTAAAAGTACCTGATACATCGGAGACTTTTCGTGCGTCTCTTAGCTCCCTTGCTATCTCTTTTTTTTTTTTTCCATTCATTGTCCATATCTTACAATGTACGAAGGGGAGTCGGTGCTCGTGGTGTTTGCCAGTTATATATATTATAGTGCACGCGTGTCCTTGCTCGACATAACTTTCCGTGCATGTCTCATGATGCTTTGGTATTTGCTTCTCTCTTGTGTACTGATTTGTTATTACAGTGACAATTACTATGGTGGTCGGGAGAGACAACGAGAGGCATTTCGTTTGATTGATAGTTTCAGAGCACATACACGCTACTGTTGTCACGTGCATGGCAGTCCCAAATTGGCAGTGTGTCCTGAAAATCAAAAAATTCACGGGAACGAAAAGAGGAGAATCGCGGTTTTGCCGAAAAATGCAAGCACAAAGGAGGGAAAAAAATGGAAGAAGAAACCCCTCGCGTGCGATGCACTTTGCTTACCATAACACCAGTGCGGCGCATAATCAAATGGTCGACGAGAGAGGGGAACCGGTTTTCCTCGCGCACTCGCACTCAACATATATACATAGTATACAGTTGGCGTATACTTTATTGGCTCCGAGCGATTTGCTGGTGGCAAGTGCACCTCCACGCAATAATTTTATAACTGATTGGGCTTGATGGAAATATTAACGTTTTGGAGGCTCATCTATTTAGTACAGCTTCGAAGAATAGTAGTTTTCCTACGAGTTTGAAAAGTCTTTGTTTGCGAACCGACAGGTTTGCGGCCCGAGCCGAGAACGAGTTCTGGAAAACTGATTTTTCGCCCGAGGAAGTACCAGCCTCCCAAAACCACCCGAGGGTGGAAAAATTATTTTCTCCGGTTCCATCAAATAGGACAGTTGGCACAGTATAGCTGTTGAAAACTTGTATCGAGTGCGGCTTAGACATTACACCTGATGGAGTATATTTCGTATTCAACCTTTTGTCCTTTCGTGAAACAACTATTAACTCACCCAAAAATGATGGCTTTTTGTATGAATTTTTTTGCGCATTCGCGTGGTCACCCTCGCAAAGCTGAATGGACCTTACTTCCCTCTCCTTTGGCTCACCGAAACACCCGAAAGTCAAAATGTATATATATATATATATGCACACAAGAGACACTAAAAAAAAAAAAAAAAAAAGGATGGAGTATCATATACACGTATATAAGGTATATGGAAGGACGAGGAAGCGACTTTCTTCCCCCTCGCGATATTTTGCTCACGTACGTGTATATGTATACCTACACACACGCACCCGAGAGCCCGGCGTCTCTCTATATATACATACATTATACTCTCACGCAACGGGAGAGGACAAGCGGGCAAAGAGGCAGACAGAACAAGGGGGAAGCACGAGATGCAGCTTCTCCTCCTTCCATTCTCCGTCGCCTCACCTGTTGCGAGAGTGCATCGACTGACCGCAGGTGGCTGCGCCGTTGGCTCTATATACACACCCCGTGGGTGGGAGACCCGCGGCTTATTTTTATACTCCCGGCTATCTTCTTCTTCCCGATGCTTCGTGCGACTTTTGTGCACTTATATACATAGGTCCTGCTGCTCGATAGCGAAGGCGGGATATATTGTGTTGTATGCGAGGATAACAGTCGATGGGTCGTATACGTGTCTCGTGAATCGCATTACATCTCTGACCCGGTGGTGACGACCGGCAGCGCTCCAAAATTTACGATTCGTTTCAATTGATGATCCCACATATATTTATAAGCTCGCTTTTGCTTCATTGTCGGTGCTTGTGGTAGCCATGCACACGTTGCATGTTCTTTTGTACTCGTTTGACATCGCAATATATAGGGTACACCTGTTTTGCGTAATGTTGAGCATTGTAAAAGTCATCCGAAAGATTCAATGGAACGGACAACGAAATTATTTGTTGATCGTGTCGAACGATTACCACGTTTCACGCGAGTGCAGCTTTCGTTCGCCTTTGATCGGATTGAAATCACATTATCAGCAGTAAATTAATCTCACAGTGGCAGCGATAAACATCCAATATCTTTGTAGACGAACGAAAAGATAAAAAAAAAAAAAAAAAAAAAGCAGATAAACAGAAAAAACAGTCGCACGCGCGCCACTGACAAATAGCCCGAGATAGGTATGTGTACACATCAAGGAGCGAGTGCGCCGAGTCTATACGGATGGGAGTAGTGCAGCAAAGTTGATACGTGAGCTGCATCATACACGCCTTATTCCTATCTCTTATTTTGGCGCGCATATATTATAAGTACACACACACACACTAGTCAACTTCTCCTCCTCCTCCTTTCCTCTCCCTCTTCCTTTGATGACGCGCAGCTCCTTTTTTTTCTTTCCTTTTCTGCAGCTACGTATAACTTACTACACCGCCCCACTGTGTGCACCTGTGCCACGCCGATTTGCTCCGTTCCTCTTTTCTCTCCTCTTCTCATTTATAGGTACACACATTCAGTGCGCAAAGAGTCCTGAAAAATGGTAACTCGCGTTAGATCTACGTGCTAGTAGTGGACGTAATTTCCTTAAATCTTCGGAGACACCGAGAGATAATATACGGAGGAGGAGGTCAAGTATGTGGCACAGCACCCCCGTACTTGATTCAGAGCAATTCAAAGAGTACCATATGCAACCGCAATCGCTTATCTTCCTGTTTGATCTACATATATACGCAAGGACTGTAATATGCGCGAGAAGGGCCTTTTAAGATATCTGCTCTATCGGGTCCAAATTTTTACGGCCCTCGTTTGTACGGCAATTATCATGCGCTCGTGGCTAATTTACGAGAATTCATACATCGATCCGCAATTATCTCTCCCCCCCTGCCCCCAACCGTTTTTTTTTTTGCCTCGTTTGGGGATTCCGAAAATTCGTTAATTAAATTTTTTTTTTACGCCCGGCCTCTCGGTCGAGTGTGTTATTGCCGTTATCGTTATTGCAGCGGGTCAAAAAAAAAAAAAAAAAAAATTTGCATCCAAGGAGCTCGTGGAAAAGTTTAATTGGCGCGTGTTTCCGCGAAACGCGATCGGTTTGGAGGTACGCTCCGGTTCGTTTTGGAAAATTCTATCCCACAGGATCAGCGCGACCGAGCCAACGTACAATGCAACGGAATGTTATGTGTACTTGACGATATAGTTCATTTGGTCGAAAAGAGGGTGTACTGGTAATATCGTTGGTGGTGCAAAAAGACTCGTAATTGTTTAGGAGGTAAGGGGTTGTCATAAGTGAAAACAAGTGCTTTTACGACAATTAATCAAATTTAGAAATGCGTATTATTTTTGTGTGTATTGTGATGGCCTCGGAGAAGAGAACTTGCATTGACCTTTTGTTTGTTCTCCTCGATTACACGTACGATCCGAGATTTTTGCCTCAGATAGTGAAATTCAATTAAAGCCTTGCAAATGCACGGTTCAATGGAGCATTGCGAAACCAAATGAGTCGACGCTACGGAACAAAAGGATGTTTTTAACTCTTTTTATTTTAAAATCCGTATAAACGAGTATATTTTACCACGAGTTTTTCAAACGTGATTCATCCTTACTCCGTAAATTGTATGAGCTCCGACTATTGTTACTCACGTAATATATGTACTCGCGATGAGCAATCGATAACGTAATAGGCACATGAATATATACTTGCTCATCGCGTGTACACCGAAAGAGATAACGTCTCGATTCCATCACCTCGACATCTCATTCTCTCTCTCTTCTGGCAAACAAAAAGAAAAAAAGAAAAAAGAAAATAAGTAAAAAGGAAATAAAATCCGAAACATATGGGGTATATCGGCCTCCCGCGGTGCTCTCGACATCCAGTAGTAGAGGTAAAGACACGCATCATCAGTAGTGTAGGGAGTAAGGACGCCGATTAATTAATAATTAGCCGCATGTCTAATGAGACGCATCCCGGCCAATTAGGGACGAATATCTATCTCTGCCCCCTTCCTCTCCTCCTCTTTGACTTCCAGTTCCAGCGTATATGTATAGGTATGTATATACATCCCCTCGTCTTTTCAACTTCATCTCGTATGGGAGACGCGAGGCGTCGCGCGACTTGTCGCTTATGTATATATACCTCCGGCTCGTGCTAAAACCCGATGACGCGCCACTCCCGCGATACACGCTCTCCCGAGAGTAGAAGTCCACTTTTCTCTCTCTCTCTCTCTCTCTCTGGGTTTCTTTGGCTGCAGCAGCTTCTTGCGTATGGTAGCACACACGCAGGTTGCGTGAGGCGAATCGCGATGCAGCTCTCGAAAACCTGAAGCCTGGATTTGTGGTGGAGAAAAAAAAATAGAATATAAAAAACAAAAGTAAAGTCGAATAGGACGGACAAGTGGGACGAGAGTCGCGCGCGCTCTGATGATACTTATATATAGGAGCGCGCATGGATGGCTCTTTTTTTTTTTTTTTTTTAAATTCTTTTTCTTTGTTTGAATGAGAAAGAAGATACAATCCGAGTAGGTATATTGTGTTACAATATATAATGAAAAATACAACCGAGGGTGGCGTCTCGCGTCTTGTTTCTCTTTAGCAGTAGAAAGAGACTCTGGTGGTCGGACATCTACGCGCGTACACGGCTCCCTGTATATCACTTATGCGTGACCCCTGATGTTAACCATAGGAGATTATCTCTCATTTGCAACCCATCGATGTACATAAATACACATACACGGTAATGTAAAAATCAATTATGCTAATATGGTGTGTAGTTTGTGTATTCGAGTGAGGCAACTCCGGGCACGCATGCATCACGCGCTAGTCCAACTCGATATAAACGCCACCGTGTCGCTCTCCATCTTCGTCTTTGACCGCGAGGCAACAATCGTCCCGAGCTAATTACTCAAGCGCACATGGCCGAGGATAACTCGCGTTCGGCTGGAGTTACCCAAAGCACGCGTATACAACACGGGCCTCCATGGAATACCAAAGTTGGAAAAGTCCCTCTCGCGATTAGATATACCTACCGTCTCTCGAGCAGAGAACCACAAGATGTTGGCAGGAGAGAGAGAGAGAGAGCTTTTGCGCGCAACTATGTGTCTTCTCATATGCGCGTTGGGGTCTCGCGGCGTAAGTTATGGCCTAATGCGAGCGCGCATATATATGCTAATCCAAATTGATTTACTGGTCACTTTCGGCCGTAAATCCACGGGCGAATGGTTATATGCACCCCGGCGACCGCCAACGCGACAGACGGAAGCTCCGCCGCTCACCTACATGTAGAGCCTAGCTTGTTTCACCTGCATAGGTATATATATGTATATGTATATACGCGTTTCGTGCGCCCAAAGAAGAAGAGGCCGAGCGTTGCGTAATTTGCATGCTCGTGGCGCGGTGCGGGCTGTTGTTTTTCCGGGACAAGGAGGGAATGTGGGGAAAGCGCCGTGTGGGTTTTTGCGTATGGGCTGTAGGAGCGTTTTGCCGACCGATGGGTTTGGTTTTTATTGCCGCGCGCGTGGACGTGTCTCCGGCGAGACGAATGAGATGTGCGCGGAGACGAATGGGCCTTGGGATCTTTTGAGCTGTAGCGTGTACTTGTGCGCAGGAGGAAAGAAAGCGGGAAACTTATTTCGGGAATTTCGAGTGTTGTTGTAATTTATCGGCTTTGACGCGGTTCGGGCGGTTTGAGGAATCGCTCGGTATACCGCTTGATTTACAAATTTATGATGAACGGAGTATACGAGGAAGCGAATTTTCGGTGCAAAATAACGTAACGTCCGTGACCGCCGATAGGTACCTTACATTGAAATCAAAGAGGGTTAGTGCGTATCTAGTTTTCAAACGAAAGTTTGTTGTTGAGAAAGTATATCAAGTTGTTGGTCACTAATAGAGAGAGAAAATAGATAACTACTTTACAGAAAAGTCCCATGTCATATTACTTGGTCGTTTTGTCGACGAATATGCCCGAGACAATGAACTCATCATTGTCTGTTTGTGCGTTCTCACTCCTAATTGATGACTAAAACATCGATAAAAATTTAACAAAAACATGTTTTTTGATGTATCTTACAATATATTCGACGGTAAACTGCAATCATTATAATAGGATGAGTTTTAAGGAAATTACATGATTCGTCTTCTTAAAATGTTTTGGTTCTGCTTTTTATAGATGTCTCATCCTCAACATTTTCATACCTCTTGTGCTAAATGAAAAAAAATAGTGTTCTTGCGTTAATAGTTGACAAAGAGCTGTTCCAAAATTAGTTTGATTATCAAAATCATAAATTCTAAAAAAAAGTCAAATTAATCAAGCGTACTATTTTACAATCCAACTTTTAATTTTCTAAAGAGAGACGGAAAAATTTATTTAGTTTCCAAGAAAACTCTTCAATTGTATGATACGTGGAAAGATAATAGAGAAATTTTTTGAGTAATTACACTATCTGTCTTGGTGATAAGGCCCTATATAAAAACCCTGTATGCTAATAGTTTCATTTTACTCAGTTGATTTTCGACTTGCTGGCTTATTACCACGTGTTATGGTGAGCTTGAGGTAAAAGTTTGCAAACTGTAAGTATTCTTGTCAATAATACATTATTCTCATGAGAATCAAGTTATGTTTGTGGTTTATAGGATTAATTCGTTAAAAAATTTTCAATATAAATTCAATATGCATTTCAAAAATACTAAAATTTTTAGATAATTGAGCGTATACCTTTAAAATTTGGTTGTTCCTATAATTTTAGTATTATTGCGTTCGAATTGGATGCGATACGGAACTAAAAATGAAAATCAGGGCCATCATTTCATTCATTATATTTTCAATGGGTGTCGTAAAATTCGAACGAATCGAAGCAAAACACGAAAGTTTTAAAGTATCACCAAGAAGTATTTTTGGGTACGAAGACTGTTTCAAAGTTGATACGAATTTTGAGGGAAATACATTTGACGCAGTGCAACCGAGCAGCCTTGACGTGACTTTTCATTTGAGCACCAGAAACCAGCCAAATATAAAAAAACTATCTTCCAACGACATCTTGAATTTGGCCGAATTGGATTTTGATGTCAGCAGAAGAACAGTTTTCATCGTACACGGTTTTGCGTCAAGTGCGGACGAACCGTGGGTTAAAAATTTAACGGCAGCGTTTCTCAAACGGGTGGGTAAATTCATTTTTTTTAACTTATCAAATTTTTGTCAAACTCCACATGGTAGATTAGTAAAAAAATCTGTTCCATTCAATTCCCAGGAAGATGTCAATGCTATCGCGGTTGATTGGAAAAATGGCGCCTCGTTTATTCGCGGGTACACGATATCAGCTCGCAACACTCGATCGACCGGAAAAGAAATCTCAGAGTAATTTAATTCTCAATTTTTTTTATCAAGTAAACATTTTAAAATAAATATTAATCGCTTTATATAACCGCCCCATAGATTTGTCAGTCGAATAGTCGACGCCGCCTGGAAACCCAATAGTACCGTCGCTTGGGGTCCAATGTACCTAGTTGGGCACAGTATAGGTGCCCACGTGTCAGCCTTCGCGGCCAATGAGATACAGAAAAATAACGGCCCGTGGGATGTAACGAGGATCACTGGTTTGGATCCTGCAGGTCCTTGTTTCGATAAAGTGGGCGAGGATATGCGTTTGGACTCATCGGATGCACCGTTCGTCGACGTCATTCATACCAACATGGCTACAAGAGCCACGGTAGGCTTCGGCTTGAGTGACCAAAGCGGTACGAAATTGGAATGTTAATTTTTCTAAAATAGACGTATTCGTTGAATAAACGAAAAATTGTGTTTCTCCCATGTTAGGCCACATGGATTTCTATGTAAACGGAGGTGCACGACAACCTGCTTGCCAAGATCAATGGATGGGTATGTTGTATTTTTTTTTTGTCACAGTAGAGCTCTATTTTCTCGTTTACAATGTACGTCTTACTAATCTTTCACATTCGTTCGGATCGACAGACATATCATGCGATCACAGCATGGCTTATCGGTACTTTATTGATTCGCTCGGTTACCACGATGGCGTTACTTGTTCATTTTTTGCATCTAAATCCAACGGGAATCGGTACTGGAGTTCGATTTTCAAAGGACCAGAAGATTGTAACGAAAAAGTCGAAATGGGAATAAATGCGGAGAAGTACAAGAATAAGTGTAGTGGCACATTTGATGTTGCAACAGGAAAAGCATCGCCTTTTTGCGGTAAGTTGCGCTATTTATTTATTTATTTTTTTCTTCCATACAGATTTTCGAGACAAAAAACGTGCATGATTATTTATTTATTTTTTTTGTACTTATAGAACGTACCAAAAAGTGGTACGAGCATTGGCAGAATCCGTTATACCAACTGTTAGGAATGACGTCCAAGATGTTCTGAATAAAGGAAATTCCATTACATTTAGTATAGACACTTGAAAGAACGCACGTGATTTATCTTACGATAATCGTTGTGTTTCAATAATAACAAGTTTGTGTGTCCATAATGTAATGTGTACTAAAAAATTTTTCAGGACAATGTCTCGTGAACATTGTATAAATGTATGTAAGAAAACGAATATCATACAAACGATATACATGCAATGAAATTTATTATTTTTTTCCATATTAAACCCGTTTTGTGTTTAACTCAGGTAACTGAATGTTACTTCTAAAGCCGTACATGCAGAAAGTAACGAAGGTCGTATACTTACTCTCCGTGTTTCGGTATTAACCTTTCAGATTCTTCCTCATCGAGCTCACATTTATCCCTGTATGTTTCGCTAAACCCCCCCCTCCCCGAGGAACCGCATCTTTTGAAAAAATCACTCCTACAACTTAATTTGTAGAGTTCAGTCGTAGTAGTAGCTCTGCATGAACAATTTGCAACGTGGCCTCTGATGTGCATACATTGGTATATATATAGAAGGTCGTATAGGTACAGTAGCCGCTGTACACGTCTAAATGCGTAATACGCCTAGTTTTCATACATGTACGCATAAGCGCGAAAAAACAAGATATTTCACGCTTTTGTTTAAAGCGAACAATGTGTCGATGTATCTACAGGGTATAATCACGAATTTCGCTAAACTGACTTTACCGATGTATATCAATATCGTATAATAAAACTAGTGCATTACCCAAGTAATTATTTGGAGACTAGGGAGTACTAAAAACCAGCAATAGGAGTATCATTCTCTCGTTCGGCCGCCTCACCAAAATCCTCGATGGCAACGGACGAGGTGTCAATTGCTTTTTATCCACCCTTCATTTTTTGTTGCAAACCTTCAGTTTGATTTTTTCCCTTTCGACGCGTCCAATGTCGAATCGCCCGTTGCCTCGCTCGTTTTCACGAAGCTCCGATCGAAGCACACTCACTGATTATTTCCCAAACGGCCGCTCGGTGCAAGTTCCGAGCGTCAAATGACAGACGTGCACGCATTTATATAAATATATACATACACCCATGTAGGTACTTTCTCGAAACGCGTACTCGTTCGAAATTGAAAAACCGCAGCCCAACCGGCAAAAATAAACAATAACAACAATAACAACCATTTCCTTACGACTTTCACGCACACACGCGCGACCGCGCCCAAGAAACGTGTTTTGAAAACACCCATTGATTCACCTCCCTCCCGGCCCGATTAATTAATCAGCAGCTTCGCTCTGATTATACACACTTATCCCACGAGACCAAGATTTGAAAAAAAAAAAAAAAAAAAACGTAAGTTTGAGGTGCACGAGCTCTCCTTTATGGTCGAAAAACACAAACCACACCCGATCCCCCTCCAACCCCCCCCCGAGCCCATGATAAAAGCATGCTCTTACGGGAGGAGCAAAACGACGTCTCCCCGGTGAAATCGGGAAAGAAAGAGGGAGCCGCCCAAAACGTCACTCTCCTCTTCCGCGGAGAGCAAATCCAAGGGGGGGAGTTGGTATACACACACACACACACACACACGCACACACATGTATTATAAATACACACGCGCAACGTATAAAGGGAGGACCGAGGGCGTGCGTGTGCACCAGAGAGAAAAAGATGAAGCAAAGAAGAGGAATCGCGGAAAGAGAGCAGGTAGCCGAAGCAGCGGAGCCGCATGTGTATATATATATACGAAGGTGGTAGCCCAAGGCTACTAGAAGATTGCCCGGCAGAGACAGGTGGGTGAGGCTCTCTCTCCCTGCATCTCCGAGGAGCACTTAGCCGCACGCGATGCAGCACGGGTGCACCGCTGCCCCGAGCAATACATATGCTGGCGCACCGACCGGCACGAGAGAGAATATTATTCGAAGCTGCGCGAGGCCACGACGACACTACATAGTACTCCAGCTTCCCTTTTGGCCGCGGACACGCGCGTGCATTAGCCATGGATTTATTCGGCACCCGAAAATCAGAGCCCCCCTCCCCCCCATCCTCGGTAATTGCCCGATTACGGCATTACTCCGGTGTACGTACGACGATGATGCCAGAGAGGAGGCGGAAAAACTACCAGCCAACAACAACGACCGACGCTGATCATCTCGGGAGGCCGTAATTGTAAAAGCCAAAGGGAAGAAGAAGAAGAAGAATAAGGGGGAGAAGAAAAAAAAAAAAAAAAAAGAGACACGGAGGGCGAGGCAGCGACGGAGCAAGTATCGCCCGCGCGCGCGTCTCCCCTTTTGTTGCCCTCCTCTCGAGGGTGGCAATTTGCGGTAATATCGGCAACGAGCGGGTTGTTCTTCCCGTATATACATATATAATATACCCTCTCTTTGTCTCTCTCCTGTAAGTTATACATATATATGTATACGCATAGGACGGTGCCATAGCCACCACTTTTTTTGTTGTACTCCCTGATGTTTTTCATACAATGGCATAGAGTGTACACGAGCTCCAGTAGCCGCGGTGCGACGGTTATATGATCCGTCAAGTATAAGACTTGCACACTTATTATATATATATATATACGGTGCGCGTATAGTCGAATAGGAGCCCTTATATAGCGTGTGCTCTCTCCTCCGTAGGCTATTGAGCTGTAAATCGGCTCGTGGCGATAAGGGGGCAGCGCGAAGGAATCTCGTTTCCGCTGATTTGGCGAGCGAATCCGGTGGCGGCGGGCAAAAAGATGTTTTATTGCTTATCTCCCTCCCTCCCTCCCCCCCCCTACCCGCGGAACGGGGGATACGCGCTCGTGTCAGCAGCGATACTTATCGCGGAAATCGCCGGCGGCAATTAAGCCGAGTGTGTTTCGCGCCTGACTCTCCGTACGGCTCGCGATAGGAGCGCCATAACGACGGAGGTGGAGGAAGGAGCTACCGAGGAGGATCCGTTTTGTTGGCTGCGGTGTATATGTACCGGGCGACCGTATCGCACCTGTTGCCCTCCTCTCCCGGGAGAGAGGCGCAACAACAACTTGTTACGGGTACTTACGCCGAGCTCTTTTCTTTTTCCCTCCCCTCCTTCTCCTTCTTCTTGTTTTTCCGTGCCCCGCGTTTTCTTCCGAGGCTTTCATCGACGCCTAGGCTCTTCCCGGTTATCGTTTTTTTTTTTTTTTTTTTTTTTTTGCGCGGCTGACCCTTTTTTTCCCTCAGGTCCCCCTATCGGAGAAAATTGCAGCCCTCCGATCGCGGCTCCCGTTGGTGCAAATAGAATCCGTAAGGAGGGCAATTTCAGCCACAAGGGGGGGGGGCACCTGTTTTTTTTTCCCCTTTCTCTCTTGCTGCCTTGTTGGTTTTTTGGACCTCTCTGCGGTGTAACGTGTAGTTTAGGCGTGGGTCGGACAATCACCGGCAAGCGTTTTTCTACGGCCCATTGTATATATATCGTTTCGGAGTGGCGGTTCCCAAGGTTTTGGGGATTTCAAAACCAACCACTTGTCCAACCCCCTCCTCTATTATTTTACGTTTTTTTTTTTTTTTTTTATGTTTCAATGAATAATCGTCCATAACGAAGGTATACACATAAGTGCAGCGCCCGAGACACCGTCGTCATTACTTACATTATACGCTATAGCGGTGCCCGCAAGAGAGTATCCTCCGTAACGAGTGGTTGTACGCACGTACAGTCGGTCGCGGCGATAAATCGGTAATGTACAGTGGTGTTACGCGGGCAACATCTGCCCGCTACGCCGCTGACGAGTGCTCCGTTCCTCCTCCAGTAGTGTAATACAATTGGTTCATTAACAGGACGCCACTATTGCGAGCCCCATACGATCGTATATCGACTTGTGCGCGTAGATGGTACAAAATGGCACGAGCGTCAAGTTGACGATTTCACGACGGCGCGCTGTTAATGAGTGGAAGCTGATGATGAATGGGGTTGCTCTGGTACACAGGTGACGATCGATCTCCGATTTTTTTTTTGTTTTTTTTTTTTGTTTCAATCAGTTGGACGTCAGCACAATTTGTCCGAGCATCCACGGAGATGCACAAAAGCCCCCCCCCCCCTGAATTGAGTAATCAGCGCGAACGGAAAGGGGACATTAATAAGGTTTACACGCTTGATAAATAAAATTACGTCCCCAACTCCCTCTCTCGCGGTGTGGGGGTAGGGGAGAAAGTACCGTATTTCCTAAACAAATAAGCGCGTAATTACGCCCGTTAATCACAATTATTTTATTTTAATCCCTTTTTGGTACGTGTGTATGTACACGTACCGCGGAGGACAGCTGGGGCAAACGCATTAAATATGTAATCGATTGACTCGGCCTCTCTCGCTTATTTCCCTGCCAAAACAAAAAAAACAAAAAAAAAAAAAATTAAGGCACGAGCCCTCCGAGCGATCGAAAGAAACAAGTATCGCAAGCATATATTCCTCGAGAGTAGAAAAAAAAGGGAGCGGTACACACACGTGTGTACGTTTTCCGTCTCGAAAAAATATCGTAATCACAATGTGTATCTCCCGCGGACGGGGTATCGATTAATACACTTTAAGAATTTTTTTTCTCCCAAACCCCGCGTTCCCCTTTTACCAGCAACAACTCCCGTGTACGTACGCATACACATGCAACCACCGGGCTCTCTCGGCTAATAATATTTATTACGCCTCGGATACGAAATTCCAGCAGCGCAAGTATACACCGGCAGCATCTCTCTCACCCCGTAATTTATTATAATTTCCACGCCGCGACCGAACCTCTCTCTCTCTCCCCTTTTAAGCGTGCACACACACACTCACACGCATGTGCGCATGTAAGAGCTCGAGATAGCGAGGTACATACCTAAGTACGTGGCGCGTGACTCTACCTATCGCTCGGGCGTGATCCGGGACGGACGTAGCGGTCCCCCCTCGGCTACTCCCCCTCTTCATCGGCCCCAACATCTATACTCGAGAGAGTCAACGTCGAGCCGATCTCAAGCCTCCCCTACCCCCCCTTTTTTTTTTCTTCTCTGCTCTCTTCAAGATTGTACTCTTTG